AAGCCTGAGCAGCACTCCCACACCTCCTGGTCCCCCTGGTCCCTCTGTTTTCCTGCTCTCCAGCGCTCTTGCCATGGCTAGCCCCAAACAGCAGGGTTCCCCTGTATGGAAAGCCTCCACATGAGAGCAGGAGGCTCGACCGTCCCCACCCCCCGGCCAGGAAAGGGGCCTGGGGTTGTCTGAGGTCTCCTGCATCTCCAGTCCAAGCCTCTTGACTTTTAATCCCACAGCTTTTTTTTTCTTCGTTGCTTATTCTAGACGGAGTTATGGAAAATAAGAAACAAAAACACACTCTGCTCTCGGTTCAATTAAGATAAGGCTGAAGTTTTTGTATTTTTTTTTTTTTAAAGAAAAGAGAAAACACAAAGGAATTCCTAGGATGGATTTAGAATTTTAAAGTTTCTGATGTAAACCTGTTTGCCCTCGGTTTAGTCTGGCACCAGCTGGGGTAACCTTTCCCAAGGCTCGTGCCTCAATTCTGTCCCAGTTGAGATAAATGGAAAAAGAGTTGATTCTAACCTTCAGACCGACGTCATACCCCTAAGAAAATGTCAATACATCTGTGTGAAAGCGACGCACAGCGATTAGAACGCCGAGTTGTTATCACACATGTCTGCGTCTTCACTTGTGAGATGCGGTCCCTGCACTTCTATTTCAGGCAGCCTGTGTGCACAGAGCTCTGGGAAAAACACTGGCAAGCGGACAACCGGGAATGTTCCTTCCCGAGACGGTCCTGGGATTGGGCAAAATCTGCAAAGTAGTACCATCTTTTCAAACCATGTTTAATTAGGGGAAAAAGAGGGCTTGAGCACAGGGCCCCTCCGCCCGCTCCAGGGGAGTAACCTTCCAGTCCCTTCCAACACCTGGCTGCCCCCAGCCAGAGGCGCCATAGAAACAGAAACAATCGCGGGGCTGCAAGCCGACCCTTCCTGCAGGGAGAATAGCCCCTGACGTGCAGAGCTGGCTCCGAGAGGAAACGAGCCTGAGAAGGAGGAAACGGCGAGAGGAAGCTACGCCCTGGCTTTGCCGATAGAGGCCATTTACATGGCAGACAACAGAATGCGGCCAACGGGCGGCAGATAAACACCCATCTGCAGCTGAAACCCGGGCCTGACCTGCACCAGCTCACAAGGTGGCGTGGAACAGAATGTGGGCTGACATCTTCCCTTCCCAACGCCGGCTCCACAGAAGTAGGCCACTTATATTTAAAAGCAGAGCAGGCGACGAAGACTTCCTTTTACTAAGTTAATTGTAGTCGGGACGTGTTATTCCTCCAATTGTCCAGAATTCTCTTTGAAAATGGAATCCTCTGGAGCAGCGGTTCTCAACCTTCTGGCCCTTTAAATACAGTTCCTCATGGGGTGACCCAACCATAACATTATTTTCGTTGCTACTTCATGACTGTCATGTTGCTACTGTTATGAATCGTAATGTAAATCTCTGATATGCAGGACGGTCTTAGGCGACCCCTGAGAAAGGATCGTTTGACCGCCAAAGGTTGAGAACCGCTGCTCTGGAGTGTCTAAAGAATGACTGTATTCATTGTGTACGCATGCACTAGCCTGTTATACCCGGTATCTCAGTGAAGCCTCATAACGGAGTTAGAGAAGTGTTATCCCATTTTCACGGGTGGATAAACTGAGGCTGTGCAGCAGTCAACGGGGAGCCATTTAGCACTGACTCCAGAACTTTCTCTATCATTCCGTACTTTAACCCCCAAAGATCTCATGTAAAACATGAGTTACGATCTCTATAATGCACTTTCCCCCCAATTCATTTCATAATTTAGCCTGTGCCAGCCTACGCGTAGAGCCTCATAAAGCTCGTATTTCCTCACAGAATCAGAAAAAGGGTTCCCTCCTGCAGGAAATCAAACCTGACACCCACACCAGCCACCTGAGCCACACTGGCCAGGGCTGGCAGGTAACGTTTGTACTTACATCTTTTATCAGTGCTCGAGCTTTTGATTTAAAATTACTTTAACATTTTCGGAACAAAAGGAGATGTAACTCAGAAGCCCTGAAGTTTAAGTTTCACAAGGAAAGTAGAGACAAATTATATAAATAAAAAATAGTCTTCTGTTTTTCATTTTTAACTATGGTTAAATTTTTAAATGGAGACCTGAACACTGGGATTCTCCTTTAGGTTTCACTATTTAAACAGACCAACAAAACCATTTGGAGGCAAAAATACACATTTTAAACCACCTGCGATTGGAGCTCTGTAACGAAAACCAATGGTTGCTAAGTGACCCGGTGACTCCACTCTGACGCTGCATAATTTGGACAAGGTATCGAATCTTTCTGAACCTTGGTTTCCTCAACTGTAACACAGAGACTTCTAACACCCACTTCCTAGGGTTGTAGGATTTAGTGAGGCAATTTAGCAAGCTTGGCACCTGGCAAGCACCCAACTTGTGTGATACCAGGTGCGGAAGGAATGTTTTTTTATTTCTTTATTTTTATTTTTTACAGAGAGAAAGGGAGAGGGATAGAGAGTTAGAAACATCGATCAGCTGCCTCCTGCACACCCCCTACTGGGGAGGTGCCCACAACCCAGGTACATGCCCTTGACCAGAATCAAACATGGGACCCTTGAGTCCGCAGGCTGATGCTCTATTCACTGAGCCAAACCGGTTAGGGCAGGAATGTTTTTTTAAGTCCTCACCTGAGGATAGTTTTTCCATTGATTATTATTATTATTATTAGGGAGGGAGG